AGCTTAGTATCCAAGCAGTGACATCTTAGGTGAAGAGACGTAAGTAACTGAGCGTTCGAGACACGGTTCCGATGTATATCGTACAGATCAGGTGATCCTAGGTCGAGGTGACTGAGAGCTCAGATACTGATACGTCGCTAACGAACGCAAAATCGACCACTGATGTAAACCAGAGTGAGTAAGTAGAGCAGACTGAGTTAGCACCCAGACACAGTATTAGGACCGAGGTCGCACGTTAGTGATCTGGATCGCGAGCCCGAGAGTGTGCGAGCGGACGTCCACTACGACAGTGCATGCAACCCACTTGATCATAAAGGTCACATGGTTATGATCTAGCCGAAGAGCTACTGCTCGTGCAGGGTCTAACGAACATTTTGACTTGACTCTGACTAAACAGCGCGAGAGTGGCGCTGAACGAGGCACAACACATTCTAGTCGATTCTGACGATCACGAGCAAGCTCAATCAGTCGGCTGTATCGAGTGCCGTGGATTTTTGTGCTCGAGAAGAAAATGTTACGCTGGAGTGATCACGACCTGACAACCGCAAAACGACAGTACTAGCGAGCCTAGCGCGTATTCTACCTACGAAGGCTTACTGCATGTGAGAGCCTCTCTCCAGAATCACAGATTTAGTATGGCACATTTTCCAACATGAGACGCCTATTAACTTTCTGAAGCTCAAGCTATGCTAAGTCCACACCACAGAGCACGAGACCGAGCTATCATCCTGCGCAGCAGAAAACTCACCAGACGTTCCACATTTGTAATAATTTTCAGAATACAACCAACATCTAAAAATATTACTACTCACTACTACTATATACACACACCAATCACACATTAAAATACATATTAGCACACACGTGAACAGCACAACAGACGTATCAGTACAGCATACGGACATTTGTGCATGAACGATGGTGAAATGCGAACGAGAAACACTGGTTTGCAAAGACAGCGGTGTTCTTGTGTGGTATAGTTCCAGACATTTGGAGGTAGCGACTCATAGCAACTATAGCACCGCGCCCCGTACATCTTTCACAAAACAGCTACTTAATCTAGTTACCTCAATATACCAATGCACATGTAGTTTAGTCATCACATTCAGCATAGAAACCCGGTATATTATCTTGTAACCGAGAATAGGCGGGTTTATCATAACGCCTCAAGTTCAAAAGGCGTGTACCTAAAATCATCTTCGAGCTGTCGCTGATAGTCACGATTTACCTAAATACTGGCTATTATAAACGCCCCAATCAGCGAGCGGACGAACAACTTCGCATCCTATCGTTTGCTATGAACTACATAACCAAAAGAAAACTACACATCTATGCAAACACAAAACAGAGCAGCGATTCCATACCATATCCCAATCACATCAAACCAACAATGACTTCGTACATATGATAACAAATGTGGCTAGAACCGTTCTCATAGGGAAGTAGGTCAACCCTGAGCGGTTCAACGCCTTCATCAGAGTGCAGCTGTGTATCCAGGGCTGGATCAGCAACCTCTACCAGGTCCGGCGCCACGTGCACCATCAATGGACGGACGAGCCCGCCAAAACAAACGGACGCGTAAAATGCAAGGCTGTAACGAGCGACCGACAGAATGTCACGCGGTGAATTACGCGTCTGCTCTTGGAAACCCGCCCGAGCTGATGACGGCGCTGCAGCTAGCCCATGGGTGCAATGCAGTCGTAAAATCACGGCGGAAGGCGGCCCCGCGCCGAACGACAGAGAGGAGCCGTGGCATGCAGGAAGCGCAGGGAGAGACGCCTGGTGATATTGTGCGCATCACGATAATAAATATAAATATTAACATTATGATACAGTTATAATGCCACCGCGATCACATCTACAGCATGACACAACAACACTCACAGAACTCATACTGTTGAGGCTTATGTATTTTGGTATGTGTGTATGTTAACATATACCCATGGCGTAAATGATTGAAGGGGAGTTTCCCTATTATTTTACTCCTGAATCTCTACCCTCATCCACATCATCTCTACCTCGAACACACAACACACACACACATCTCTCATCACATCTTATGCTCTCTCTCTCTCCTCTCTCTCTCTCCACCCCACAGCCACCCTCACACCATCACCTCACTCACACTACTGACTCATCATCTCTCTCTTGCCGTCTCTGCTCGTACAGCTCACGCGCGCCCTTCTGTCTGCTTGCACACCGCCACACTCGCCACAGCGTCACCACAAAACCAGCCTAGTCACGTCATCCCGAACACTCTCATCCTCGTTTCTGCTCTTATCTCTTTCTCCGTCTCATCGGTCCCTCGCCTAAAATGATAGAGGATTATAATTTATAAATCTCTTCTAACTCTCTCTCTCTCTACTCTCACACACATCTTATAAAGTTTATAAACCAAATTCTCTGGCTACGCCCTCATGGCCTTTTCGTTCCACACGACGTTGTATCATACTACAGTGCGCTCTCTTGCACCCTCTTCCCGTAAACTGACTAAAAATTAATTACGTTTCTGGCCGGTTTAGCAAAGGCACGTTCGACACATTACGAACGCAATTGCGGAAGGTGTGCTTAGCCGCGATGCTCCGGCTTGCTAAGCGGCGAATCATATTCCGCGCCAATAAGCCAGCGTATATTCGGCACCAAGCGCTGGCGCGAGTATTGATTTTGTCGTGCTGAAAACACTAGACTGAGTACCCGTTCGCTGCCACCGAATCGTTAGGGTAGGCGTGTGGAACTGTCGACCGGGTCCGAGTCTAATTATACCGGCGCTAGCTAAGGCCTCGAATTCTCGCGTGTATCTCGTGTGAAACGCATTTTAACCGGACTTCAGCACCAACTAAGTACGGTACCAGCTAAGCCGTGTATACGTGTGAACGCAGCTTATAATTTTGTTGTTTATGCACAGCGGTGTGTGTGCGGTGAAGAGGAGCATTTGAACGGCATTCGCGGGAAATTATCGGGAATATAAAGGGAAAGAGAGTAGAGAAACATTAAGACGTTGTTAGTAAATACATTTCGTGTTTATTTACCATCATTTTATTATTGAAACCTTCCACGTACCTGTGAGGTAGATACTCCCGTTTTTGCGAGCGAGCGCCATTGCGTCCATCCACAAAATCCGCGCATCACTAATGCGCACGAGAGATAAAACAGCGCGCCGCGTTCGGCTGCAGAGATTTGCCTGTCTCCCACTCGCTGCAATTTCCGATTGGCACACTAGATGTCGGCTTATATGTCGTTAAGTCATCAGTGAAGCCAGGCTGTCTGTGTGGATAGTGCTCCGCCAGGTCTAATCGACCTAATTAAATTAGTTAACGTTAATGAGGTAAATTAAATTAGAAATTAAATTAGTTTTAATATTTAATTAGATAAAAAATTTATTTAACAATCGTGCTGGCGTGCAGCGCTAATGAATTGTGTTTGGGAGTTGGGGAATTCGTTTCCGTTGGGCTATATTCGTTTTTTTCCTCTTGAGCAGATCTAGAAATCTGTTATTATCGTTGATTGCGAGATTGTTAGTGTAAGCATGCAAACCAGCGGTAATTATGAGCATAGTTCATCTGCTGCCCCTCGTTTGCTGCATTGTTAATTCCGCACGTATAAAAAGATGTATAATTTATTTATATGTATATGTATATTTATATGTATATATATATAATAACATCAGGAGTTAATAAAGGCAAACCGACAGTTTGTCTTTATTAACTCCTGATAACATGAAACCGACAGCGTATAGACCAATGCTGAAAACCTAATAGAAAAATTCAATAACTGCGTAGAACATGGAATTTAACGCTGTTATTGAGTTTTTCTGTTAGCTCTCAGCATTGGTCTATACGCTGTCGGTTTCATGTTCATATTAAGACGATTAGTTTATATTTGCACCAAGCCAAAACAGCCGGTCGCATGGTCATGGCCATGCCCGCGCGCCGTCGGACGGAATCTGCTAACGTAGATCTAACTAATGGTGCGATGGTTACAGAAACAAGCAAGCGGCAGACGGGCACTGGCTACAGTACTGTTTACAGTAGCACACAAACACACTAACAGCGGCAAGTGTGCGCGCCCGTCGGTTCACTGCCGAGTTGTTGATTCCTATGTGCACACCCCCAGAAGCATCTCTCTCTCTCTCTCTCTCTCTCTCTCTCTCTCTCTCTCTCTCGTCGGTCTCTCCTCTCGTTGCCGTCTCTACTCGCTCTCTCTCTCTTCTCTCTCTCATCTCTCTCACTCTCTTCTCTACCCCTCTCGTCTCTCTCTTCCTGTCTCCCATTCTCTCTCTCTTCTCTCTCTCTCTCTCTCTCCTCTCTCTCTCTCTCTCTCTCTCTCTCGCTCTTCTCTCTCTCTCTCTCCCCTCTCACTCTCTCTCTCTCCTCCCGCTCTTTCTCTCTCTCTCTGCTCCC